GGGATGGGAGAGAGGGTTGGGGGGGAGGCGAAAAGGAAGGGAGGGAGTGGATCTGGAGAAAGGAGTGGTAGAGGGCGAGGGGAAGTAGGGCAGAGGGGGATGATGGAGGGAAGATAGAAAGTAGGAGGGTGGTGGAAGAAAGAGGTGTCTGGAGAACGGAAGAGGTATATTGGGCGTTTATTTTCTGGGGCATTGTCGACAAGAGGAATTGATGCAATTATTGTTTAATACTGTATGGTGTATACATGTGAGTGTATGAAAATGAAAATAGAATATATTAAAAAAAACAGATCCTAAATTATCAGTGTTTCCTGATTGAATCCTGAAATAGTCAAAGATAGTGTGTTTTTCATGCAAAATATCATGAACCTATCACTTGTTTGGATTTACCAATTAAAATGCTTGATTTCACTTTGGTTCTCTTTTCTTTAATTTGTATTTTTCTCTTACCTGGATATGGTACTCTCCCTTTTGTTACCAATTCTGTTAGTAATATCCCAAAGGACCAAACATCAGATTTTATGGTAAATCTTCCATATAATGCAGCTTCCGGAGCAGTCCACTTGATAGGAAATTTTGCACCTGAAAGACAATAGAAATGATCAGTAAGCCTTTCGTTGTGAATTAATGGCTAATAAACTTATATAATTCATCAGAATGAAAAATAAATAAATAGAAAAGTTTATTCACTACATTATTCTTGTCAAAAACCTTGTCTTATATTTTAACAAATGATCCAATTTGAAACATAATTCAAACCTTTATATCTGACATTGAAGTCTGAATTTTTGGAGCACAATGCTAACCTTTCTGCTTCTACAATTCTCAAGCATGATTGTACTTTCAAATAAATGAAAGCCAGAACTTTCAAATAGTGTATTTGTATTCATGGGAACCATATTTATGTTCTAAGACCTAAATGCTCAATTACTTAAGCATTCTAATTGTTTTCCTGATTATTAAGTCTACAGCCCCATTAATACTCCAACTGTGATTTGGTTAGACTTTGAAGTGTTTTGACGTAGCTCTAAATCTTTATTATGGCTGGTTGCACAATCAGCCAGATGTTTGGGTTTGGCATTTTTATGGCCTATCCTTGGAATATGCAGATACTATTGTTTAATGGTGTTAAAGTTATCATTGCAGGATGTAAGCTGTTCCAAATAAAGCTGCCTTTTGCAATTGACTGATGATGATTGTATCAATGCCAATGATGTTCAATGGTGCCCCAGAAGTTAGGGGCTTGCACCCAACTGCCTATTATTGTTAATGCTTTCTTTTGCCATAGTTGCTCTACTTTATTTGCAGGGTTTTTTGTATTTTGTTGTCTTCTCCAATTCTTTCTCTTCTATTCTGCCATCTTCAAGTACTGCAATGCCCATTATCCAGACGTTTGGCTTTATTGATAATTGTTAAGTCAGGGATTTATATAGCAGATGCTTGTGTGTTTGAATTCTAAATGCTTTGTACATTCTTATTATGGAAGGTTCTTTGAATTATCTACTTTAATTGAAATCACTAGAAATCCTATGTCTGGCTTACCGCTATATTAGCATAATAGAAAGCCAGTAATATGTGTAGAGATAATCTAAATAAGCATTTGGGAAAGCATTTTTCCATTTATACCAAATCTTCCTGTTTTATTAAACAGTACCTACCAGTTTGCCATTTCACACACAGGACAAAAAAACCATAAGAATCTCCTCCTTTATGTTTGTCATTATCAAAGTTATTATATCTGTGTTATAACTATATCAGTTGAAACCTGTTTGTAATGTTCTCCCAAAATGACAATTTGTACGTGGCTTAAATTAACCCAAAGAAATTCCAAGTGCCTAACACACAGCAGATCCTCAGAATATATCCAATGTTCCCACTGTTTTAGCTAACTCCAGCTATTTTTGCACTCACTGAAAATTCCATTAACCATTTTGTGGTATACAAACACAGCCTTTCAATACTTTAACCCTTCAATCCCACCTGCATAGCCTTGTAGCCTTTCTAGGAAACATCTAGAAATATTTTAACATGACTTGATTAATCATTTATCTGGGATGAGGCAGGGTACTGAAGATAGAATTCAGAAATTATTTTATTGGCCAATGTACATTGGTCTCTTGCTGTGATTTATGGAAAATAATGTTGATAATCCTATTGGCTCTTAGCTATAGTCAGCATAGTTGTTAGAAATCAATTCAAAAAGAATCAGACTGAACTGAAAATTCTATGTCCTACAAATTAACTGGGGATGGGTATCTTAACACCATTTGCTTCCTTTAGTAATGTCTTCAGGGATTCAAGAAAGCTTTGGGGGGATGGAAGAGGCAGGAAGTCAGCCCAGTTAATGTCAAGTAGACAATACTGGTACGAAAAAGAAAAGTCTGTTTTTGAAATTCAGCCTTCAACTCTTCACAGAGGTGTGTACTTTCTGTCTCTAGAAGCTACTGCCAGCCTGTATCACATTTTCCCAGCCAGTCTTCAGTTCCTGCATGTCAAAATCCTACAGGAACACTAGCTAGTTAGATAAACAATCAATCTTCTAGCTGTACCCCAGTGGAAAATCTATGTGGTGGGATCATGGGGGCGCGGAGAGAATGCATGCCAGAGCCTCTAGAATTAAAATACCATGAGCAGCAGCAAAGCATTTGATTGCTGTATTTTAAATATAAAGAGCATATTTAAAGAAACTCTTAATTATTAAATGTAGTTTATATTATATGAAGAGAAAATAAAAAACGTATCTATGATTGTTTCCAATATGCCTAGATCATTTTTCAAACTGATTACAGTTTTCACTATGAAAAGATTTCCTATTTCATACTGTATGGGTGAATTTCCAGAATGCAATCAATGCATTTTAACTTTATTTGAAGAGGAAATCTTCAAATCCATTTGTGCAAGCCATAATTGGCCAACGACCTATGAAGATCTCGTATTTAATAGTAAAAATAATTAGTATTCTTCATGTTTTTTTTTAAAAAAGTGAAGTCACTGTGTGAGATCATCTAGTCCAAGATGTGTTCAAAAGCAGCAGATATGCTTTTAAAGGGCAGGGTCCCACCCACTCCCATTTACAGAAACTACTGATCTGAAAGTTGGTAATAAATTATTTATGTTGCTTAAATGTTTGGAGTTCATTTTTTTAAAATGTTTGCAGTTATTAAACTGTTCTAATTGCAATCTCTCTTGCTGAAGACTACCGTACTACTATTTCCAAATTTGCCAGAGAGGTCAGAGATAACATAATGATGCATATCTTCTCTATCCAGTGGATTTGGCAATAACAATTCTTTATTTCAAATGTTAAATGTAGATTAAATGACACCCATTTTGGGGGTATGACTTTTTGCACATAATATTCACAAGTGCAGTATAACAACGGTTATATTACCCACTCATCCTACCTTGTCTGGCTGTGTATTCATTGTCTTCAATTAATCTTGCTAATCCAAAATCAGCAATTTTGCATATTAGACCATTCCCCACCAGGATGTTTGCAGAACGCAGGTCTCTGTGTATGTAATTCATTCGCTCTATATAAGCCATACCTGCAGCAACCTGTTTAATTCACAATACATGACACACACTAGTTAATAAATACAACTTACTTTCACATGTGTACCTTGGATTAATGACATATTCATATTTTAATATTTACCTGTGCTGCCATATCTACCAGATTTGGCAATTTCAGAGCTCTTCCTTCACCATCTTTTAGGAAATCAAGCAAGCTTCCTGCAATGCAAATAAAAATAAGTTCTTAAATAATATGTGATTGACATAAAATAGTAAAAAATTGCATTAATAAACAGTGTTAGTACAATAATAATAAATAGGAATTTACTCCTCCCAAGCAATGAAGATTAAGGGAACGCTGGGAATTTATTCCATGATCAAAGGAACTCCAAAACCATTTCTCTTTGTTTTTTGTTTTTCCCCAAATATCTTATTTATATGATGACAAATTATATTTAAGAAGTATAGACTTGTTTTTCCAATGTTGTATTAATAATTCTTTAGCCATTCTCCATATACAAATACAATTCAAAGTTTAAAATCAGCAATGATTTAAAGTCTATCAAAATAATATTATGGATCATAACTCTGGAAAACATGTACTACATGTCTACTTATTTATTCATTGCATATGTCTCCAAAGATTAAAATCATATGCTTGTAATCTTTAGATTAAAGATATAGAAAATGTCAGGTTAATATAAAGTTCATCCTACTGAATTCTAAGGTTAACCCAGAGGCAATTTTCGGTGATTCCACCTTTACTGTGCAGCCAAAATATTTAAGCAAACCATCAACAGCCACAGCAGATTTCATATATCATCCTGTTTCAGAGGTAGGAACATGTTTGATAATGGGGCAAACTTTTTAAATTTGTTTTGGGACTAGCAATAGATGTCAGAAAGTACAGGTATTACAGGTGATGCCTAAATTTCTAGGAAAGTATGTTAAGAGATTAAGGAGTGTTGGTTTTGGTGATTAAAGTTGAATACACTTTAAAAGTGTGCACGCACGCACGCATGCACGCACACACACACCTTTTGGGGGGAAGGGGTATTTTGAGTCATTCTTAACTCTGACAATTGCATGGAAAGTTTCTGAAGTTTTCTTGGCAACATTTTTGGAAGTGGTTTTTCATTACCTTCTTCCTAAGGCTGAAATAGCCCAAGTCACCCAGCTGGATTCAAGAAAGGACAGAATCCACAGCTTTCTAGTTTGGCACCATTAACCAGTCCATCTATCTAATTCTCTTCTCTGCTATTCTCCTCCCCATTGCATACAACAGAGAAATTTTGCCTCTTGATGATGTCAAAAACACTTTCTCATGGCTTAAGGAATCACAAGGGATTCATTGCTGAACTTTGGAAAAGAGCAGAAAATGCTTCTCTTTATCTAAAGCACCATTTGATGCAGGCTTAAGTTCCACATAGCTTTGGAGTCAGGTCCTTCTCCCCCTCCACCACCCGAAATATAGTTATTCTACTCTTAAACAAAAATAATTATCAACAATGCAGAACAGAAGTGATAAAGTTCCTGGAAAACTGATTTGTGGGAAGTTAAGTACCAGCTGAAAAAAAAAAAGTACATTCTGTAATATCAGTTTGCGTAAGGCAAACACAACAAAGAGGAATCCTTATTAGGACAAACGAAGTGTTCTACATTATTATTTAAAGAAGCAGCAGTGCCCAGTCATGGGTAAATCATTAAAAGGAATTCTTTCCCGCCACTTTATCATCTGCACAGAACTTTTGTGTAGATAATATATTTGAAGAGTAAGTTCAGAATGCTTACTTAAGCATTTCTGGAGGGAGAAAGTAGCCTGATCATGCAGCAATGCTGAGCTCAGCAAATTCACGATGTAATTACTTTCGGATGTGGAAATCAATAACCCTTCCATTGAAGGTAGAGTAAGATGCCATAATATATAAACATTTTAAGATATTGTGATAACAGCCTGGTATGAATTCTCAAATAGAATCAGAAGAATATAAAAGAAGAAAACTGACCATCTTGAAATATTTATGTGAAAGGTAATCACAAAGCCATAAAAAATGAAGGAAATTAAAAAAAAATTGTGGATATTCTCAAAAAATACTGAAATATAAAATAACTGGGTATTGTTTGAAAAGGCCTTAACTATTCTATCTGGATCATATCAAGAATTTCCAAAAATGTCATTTACAGTGTCTGTAGATTAGATTCCTTAGATTCCATTCAGCCCTCTCAAATCTTTGTGATTTCAGTCAAAGAGACAGTGTCAATTTTTGAAGTTCAAACCATGAGTATTTGGATACAACATGCAAATGGTTATAACCACAGGAATATATGAACATTTGATTAAGGTTCTTGTCCAATATAAACTTATAAATATAAATTATAAGTAATACATGAGGGAACATTCATTCCTTTTACTCAAACCTTCTTATTCTGAATAATAATAGAACCATCCATATTTACAAAAAGAAATGCAATATATTATACCTGATCACTCAAAATATAAAAAATACTAAAAAACAAAAACAAAAATAGGTTTAAAAGTTCAGAGTGATCTTAAATGATACAGAACACTGAATCACTAATGTGATGACACAATTAAAATAATTAGGAAACCATACTTTCTTTTCAACAATTTAAAATTGAGATGTAAAACAAACAAAATCTGGGCTAGATTTTTACTCAGAATGAAGCACAAGAAAATAGATACAGTGAAAGGATTTCACAAAGGAACAAACCAGATTTTGGATATTGCAGCTCAAACAAATTTTATGTTGTCTTTCAGTAAGCAACTAAAATGGTAAGGGCTTGAAGAGAGAGGTAGTTTTACTTCTTTGTTGGCAATAAAACTTTTTATGTGATTGGGGAGATCTTTCTAGTATTACAAGGAAATCTTAATTCTTTATTCCTTATCTTTATTTACCTTACCAGTAATTTCTAACCCTTATATTCCCTCTTTCTACTCATTATAACTATTACACTGCAATGCTCTTAAAGAGTTGGAAAAAATTCTAGAGGCAACATGGCATGTTCTAATACCTTATTTCATTATTTCAATATTTGACATAGGACACTTTGTCAAAAAATATCTGCTTGTTATATTCTGACACAGAAACATAAAAGCTACTTACAAAGATTTTATGGGTTTGATGGTAAGAGTCTAGTTAAGAAAAAGGTATAATTATAGGTAAGAGTTTACATTTAATGAAATTATAGCATGTGGTCAATTTCTGCATGCTGCAAAACCATTTTATGTCACTCTCTTGTTAGTTCATCAATTACATTTTAAAAGAGAAAGAATTCTAGAAGCCACACCCTACATGCTCTCTCTACATTGTTTAATTATATTGCAGTGATTTGAGGGATTGGGTTTTCATTTATGCATTATTATTTATTTTATGTTTTACTATAAACTGCTGAGTCAATTGGTATAAACATTGTCTAAGTAATTAAATACAAGGTAGGATTAATAGCAGAGTTTAATTTGCATTCTGCAATCTATTGAGTACACATGCACTTACCTTTACCCATATATTCTGTGACAATGTAGATGGGTTCCTCTGACACCACTGCATAAAGTTGGACCAGCTTGTCATGCTTTAGCTTTTTCATGATCTGGGCTTCTTCCAGGAATGATTCTGGGGACATAGTGCCAGGCTTCAATGTCTTTATTGCCACTTTAGTATTCCCATTCCAAGTACCTATTAACAGATCGATAGATGAATAAATAAATTTTACGCATTCCTGACTGAGAGCTAAACTACAGAATGCTATTTGCAGATATTAAAGCAGCCTTTCCCAATCTGATTATCCTCCAAATGCATTGCATTTCAACTGTCAGCATCCTTAAGCCACAGATCTGAAGAGCACCAAGTTAGGGAAGGCTGCTGTGATACAAAAAACGAGTTAGAAAAATTAATCTGTAACTGTTGAGTTTCCACCCTTACTCGAATTGGTTGTGCTTGTTGTGACTTTTTAAATTGTTTTGTATTGTTGTTTTGTTTCTGTTTACTCTTTTGTATTTGTTCCCCCTCCCTCCTGGTTTGTCAGCTGCCCTGAGTCCCTTTGGGAATAGGGCGGCATACAAGTCGAATAAACCACTAAACCACTAAACCAACTGTTACATATAAGAAGCAGTGAACACTAATGCAACTGCATAACATTTGTGATACAACTACTTCAAGTTAGGTTCATCCTCTACAGTTGAAAGAGGGATGAGTACAAACATGAAAAACCTGTCTTAATGACTTAGCTCATTGGGTGACCTAGAACAAGGTACTCAAGGCAAATGTATTTCATAAAGCTATTGCCCAGCCAAGGCATAGCACCAAGCTCCTGGGGGTGGTGTGGTGGGAATGAATTCACCTTCATTAGAAGGTTCCAAATTATTGAACTAATTTATTAGGCTGTAATGAATTGATAAATATTATTCTGCTAAAATTACTATAATTTTTAAAAGTCATTATAAAGAAACCTCTTTCTACTGGAGAAAGACTGCACAAAAAATCAAAGCAACATACAGCATAGTATTCTTTACAATATAAATAATAGTAAAACATGAAGATAAGGATCCCATGGACTCTTGCCCAAATTAATTCTCCTCTGAACTAGAAATTATGGGGACACTAATGAATAGGAAAATTCATATATCAGATACAAAAATTCTTGTGATTTGATCTATAACTCAGAACCATTTTATTTCATAATCATCTATGGAATTATTTTTGTTAATATTCCAAAACTAAGAACTTTTATTTTTAAGGGAGGGAAAAAAAGACTGAAAGCTAAATAACTGTTACCTAATATAATTAATTCATTTCCTTTTATGCTGTAGAGATGACAATTTGCATGCTAAAAGAAAGCTACAGCCATGTGGCTCAGCTATTTATTGGTAACTAGCAAAAGACTGTCCCAATAATTATATGCAGATAGGAGCCATTTTACTATAAGGGAAAGGTAAAGAGTGAGTCTACAAAAAAGCCCTGTTTGAGACTGAATCTTGATTATTATATCAAAAGGATTTTCATCCCAAATTACAAGGCACTTTATTTGGTCTCACAAACACTAACAAGAGCTCCAATAAATGAACTAGTACACAATAATGATATGGACTCTACCCAATCTTGGATCACATAAAAATGGTGGAACTTGAGTACTGGAAATCTCCAGTTCTAGAATGCATTTTTTTTACAATATAACACAGAAGACAACATATGTTTTTTTTTTCTGTGCTTGTATGGACTACAAAAATAACCCTAGCCTTCTCCACTCAAGGGCCTTATCAAATGTTACTCTTTGGTGACAATATTAGTTCATTGGAACTTGTGTTCATAATGTCTTTCTTGTTCTGAAATTGGCTTCTTTCCCGATGGCTTTAAGCATCCATCCCAAACCAGAACAGTGTTCGCTGCCTTACCACTCCACACTTCAGCGAAACAGCCCTGACCCAGCTTCTTTTCCAGAAACAATGAATCTCGTGCAACTTCCCATGCATCCTTAGCCAATCCGACAGTTTGTGGAGTATAATTCGATGCAATCACAGTTAAGTTAAAACATAAACCATCAGCTTTCTCTACAGAAAAGGAAATTAATAAAAGAAATACTTATAATTCGTAAAGTAATTGCATGCACAGGGAAAGATGGAAGGTGTTTTTTTCCCCTCATTAGGTAGCATTCAGTAGTAGTTTGATTCTAGATAGTAGGCATACAATAAATATTTGCATAGCTATCTGATTTGTATACATGACAAGTGAAGGCAGCTTGTCAAAGCTAGCAACCAAACTCAGGAAGCCCATTGCATCACTTGTCTTTTTATCATTTTAAAAAAATGATTTTCAGAGAGGAGCATACTACTCTGAGTAATGGGAGACATCTGCTCTTTCTGCTATTGATCCCTATTACTTTTGCTTCCACCTTCCATCTTCCGCACCTGTCCCCCAATTGCTGGGGGCTGACTAAATAAGTTAAAATATTTTCTCAGCATACCCATCCATACTTCCCCAAACTGCCCATTTCCCAGTCTCTTGATCAACTGTAGTGATTCTCGTGGAATTTCCCAGACATCTTTGGTTTTGACAGACAGGTCAGTAAGCCTTGGCATTCCTTTATGACAAGGGACTACTAAGCGGCAGCAAAGACCCGCAGCTCTCTCTGATGAAGGAGAAGTAAAGCACAGGGAAAGAAAAGAGTAACAAACATCAAACAAACATAGCAAGCAGAGAAGAAAAAACAAACAAAAATAGTGCTAGTAAACAAGTTAAAACGTCTGTTAGTAGCATTCCAAAATAAGCTTGAAAATTAATCATCCTGCATACCACTGGAGGTGAGAACTGCTTCCATCCTTTGGGAGGACTATAAAAATTTGGGTTTGCTGGTTGGCCTGGAGCCCCAAGGGGGGCGCTCAACACTGGAGGTGGCTGACAGGATAATAAGAACTCATCCCTGTCTCGTCCATATCTTAGTTCTGGCTTCAGCATAGTTTTAAAATCTTAATCTGTGTAGTTTTAATGTCTTAATGTTTTAATTATTTTTCTACTTGTTTTATAATTTGTAAACCTTATAGAGAAGATGCGTGGCATAAACAAACAAGCGAACACCTACAATTTGTACTTCCATTAATTCTGAGAGCTCTGTATTTCAGATGCCACATTGCTTTCTTTTGCTTAGCTTGAATAGGAGACTGAGATGGTTATAAAACATAAAGACATGAGACAAGATTCTTAGCCTAATCCTGATTCTATGCTTTGCATCTACCTTAGAGTCATTTTCACAGCTTCCCCAGAATGTCAGGTGTTAATAAGAATGACTCTTTAACAGAAATCACTAGTCTCACTCAACACTTCATTCTGGGTTAGTGTTTCTTTCTTAATTGATTGGAAGGGCATTCAAATATTGGCCTGGCCTAATCATTTTCTCTCTATTATATTTCTATTCCTTTCTATTACTCTATTCTGCTCTATTATCATTGTTAACAGGAGCACCAGTATTAATTTTGGTTGTATTCTAAAGTTAATCTGATCTTAGACTTGAGAATACAATATATACAATCATATACAATCATGTGAAAAAATTCAGTATACTCCACGTAAAGTTCCCTTCACTTTTTAAACATTTATGGGCATATAACTATTTTATCTTCATTGTACAGTATAGGAAGGAAATGTAACTGAACAAAAGCTATGTTCAGAAGCTATGAAAAACTGACTTTGTGATCATTTATCCACTAAACAAATAGCAGATATGCCATTCCCTTCTGTGGAAAAAGTAAATATACCTTCTGCTTTGATGCCTTCTACTTTCCCCCTTTGGTAGAAATAATCTCAAATATAGCCTTTCTTATAGCTGCCTGCCAGTCTCTTGACATCAACTGTGAGGTGATTTTTTTTTTTTACCTACTCTTCCATACAGAATTTTTTCATCTGTGAAATGTTTGAGGGATTTCTTGCGTGAGTCAAATCACCCCAAGTCACCTTAGTGGGATTACCATATTTTTTCGGAGTATAAGATGCACCAAGGTTTTGAAGAGGCAAATTAAAATAAAAAGTTTTTGCACTCTGCAAACTTCCCCAAAACTCCCCCCTCAAAAGGGCATGGATAGTTCCCCCCCCCAAAAAGGGCATGGATAGCCTTTAGGAAGCTTATAGAGTGCTCCTGGGGGCTGGTGGGCAAATTGAACAAAAAAATGGCACAGCCTCCTACAAGCTATGTACAGCCATTTTGGGGAAGGGGGCATGGTTTCGGGAGGCAAAAAATGCTGTATTTAGTGTATAAGACACACCCAGATTTTCAGCCTCTTTTTTGAGGGAAAAGGGTGTGTCTTATACTCTGAAAAATATGGTAGATCCAAGCCATTCTAGAACCCTCTACTACTATTTTTTTTCTCTCAGCCCTTGCTTGGTGGATTTACTGCAGTGTTTAGGGTCACTGCCATTTTGTAAGGGTCATTAACCCATGTTTTCAACTTCTGTATGAGGAAGAATTTATAGTGGATTGTAGGATAGTGAGTTGCCCAGGTCCTGATTAAGCAAAGCAGCCCCCAAACCCTAACTTTTTCACCACTGTGCTTTATAGTTGGTATCAGGTTTTTTCCTGTGGAATGCTTTCTTTGGCTTCCATCAAACATGACTTTTGGTATTGTGGCCAAATAACTCTATTTCTGCCTTAGCTATCCAGAGTACATGTTCCATAAATCTCATTTTTTACCGAGGTGCTAATGAACAAATTTTAGACTTGCCCTGTTGTGTCTTTGGACAGCAAATTTTTCTTCTGCCATACCTCCCACATAGATCTAATTTGTGCAGGTTCTTTCTAATAGTAGACACTTGCACATTGGGGAGAGCTACCTGTATGTCCCATGATGAAATTTTGAGGTTCTTAGAGACTACTATTAACCTTGTATATTCTGCTCTCAGGTTGCTGGCCTGGCCTGGCTAAGTTGGCAGTTGTTGGAAATCTTGTCCATTGTAGATGATCTTCCAGACAGGATGTAGAATGATTGATATCTAATTGTTAGGCAATGTTTTAATATTCCTTCCCAAATCTATTGACATATATAATCTTCTTTCTGAATGCCTCAGAGCACTCTTTTGATTTAGGCATAACAATACCACAAACTTCAAGAACAAAAAGCATTTAAATGAGGCTTAAATAAGACTTGTTTCTCCCAAAGCTTCTCTCATGATGTTGTTTATATACGGTACAATTAAGCAATTGTATATACAATTAGAAATTATGTTTATTATGTGCTCTACATGGGGCAGCCCTTGAAGAGTATTCGGAGACTTCAGCTTGTCCAGAATGCAACCGTGCGCGCAATCGTGGGTGTACCTCGGTTCACCCACGTTACACCTATTCTCCGCGAGCTGCACTGGCTGCCTATTGGTCTCCGG